TATGGACTCGATTTCTCAGAAAAGTCATTTTCATTTGATCTCAGCAGTTTTTCAGTTTAACTTTCTTTGCTTTTTTCTGCCCAATGAAGTATTTGAGCATGTGCCCCATATTACAGTACATACTAAAATGCTAAAAGGTAGTAGTTGTCAATTAAACCACTGTTCTCCATTAACCATCAGCATTATATTGTTACATTTAGGACTCTTTCTTAAAACAAAATAAAATGCTTATTAAATTTGGCCTCAGGTGCTAGAACATGTCCAAAACTGTATGTTGCTTGAGTCTTCCAAGTCTGTCAGATACGCTCTCCATTTACTAAAACATTTTCACCGAGACTCCTTCTCTGCTCCTCTGGTCTTGAAATGAAACCACTGACTGCAGCTTAACGTCACCTTAAGAAACAACATATTGTTCACATACGTGCACAGTGGTGGGACAAACACAATAGCTGGGAGAGAGGGTCACGCTGAGAGGGGGTAGCAATTTTAAGCTGAGTCCACACATTTTGGAGCCAGTGGGTTAATCCGGCCAGGCTTTTTAGCCTGCTATTCAGAAGGACAAGGACCCCTAGGATTTGGGCTTGTCCACACCTCAGGGGTGGGGGATTATCAAGATAGCAGGAAAGGTGAGGAGGGTGTGATGGTAGGTGATGTGAATACGTGTTTATTAGCAAGATTGTATAGATTTGAAGAATAAGCGTGTGGCTGTAAATCTTTGTGAGGAGCACACATAAGTGTGTGTGTTTGTGTATTTAGGGGGGGGTTCATCCTGGACTTCCACTCCCAAAAATATACCCCCGAGCTCTGACAGGGTCACCTCTGAGCCTTTCAGCGCCTCCTCTCAACCAGTCCTAATTGATCTCACGCATTACTAGTCCCAAACAAGGGATGGAGAACAGGAGGGTGATGGCTGGTTCATTGTCTGAGGAACGAGGTCCCCTTGCTAGTGGCTCTCCACTCCACCTTCACGCACGCGCACGCACACACACACACACACACACACACACACACTTTTATAGCATGCCCACCCACCATCTCGCCTTCTCCCCCTTTTCTCCTCTCCCCTTCTCTATGCTCTCATCTCCGGCCGTGATAATCCACTGGCTGAGTCAGGAACTCAGTTACCCATCTGGCCAAGCATGACTCCAGCTGGGAGGTGAGAGGGTGGAGGGGATGAAGGAAAAAGGAGGAGAAATTGTAAGACGAGTAGGTTGACAAAGAGAAATGAGGGGGTAGACTGTAAGCAGTCTGGAGTGAGGGGAGAGACATGAGCGAGGGGATCTTTAGTCAAGTTATTCCTTTAAATAGTAAACAGTGAAGAGAAAGACAAGAGCACAGACTACTGGAGGGCCACAAGGCAAAAATGTCTTCTTTTACTCTCTCCAAAAAAAAAAATATTGATCCTATTGTCTCTGTGTCAGGAAAAAGGATTATCCTTTCTAGAAGGTTGGAAGGAGAGCTGCCACTGAGCTCTGTTATGACTGATATAGTTTGATTCCAGTGTGCAGTGAAGTAGCCCCAAGTCATGGCTTTCACCTCTGACCCTGGTTCCTGTGGAACCATCTAGGTGGTTAACAGTAACCCATGACCTTTGTCATAACCCATCGCATGCTTGTGAAGATGGACCGGCACTGTTGTTTCTAACAATCCTTGTCTTAATGCTGCTGAAGTGTAGTCAAAAGCAAATTTCCACTGTGATGGCCAATAAAGTTGTATTGCATTGTACAGAAGTCACTAAAACAAGTAATGCAAAAAATACACATGCAATGACATTAAGTTGGCAAGCCACAATGTACTTATAACCGACTATAATTATTTGTGAAGCAATTTCAAAACCTATATTGCTGCAATGTAGCAAAAATTACAGAGTGGATGGCTGTATGACATACAGTAACAATTATTATTAACATAACCAGCAATCATACATGTCAAACTGAAATACAGGGGATACAATTTAAGGGGTCAGTTAAATTTAAAAATTCATGCTATACGTACAACCAAAAAAAGATT